CACCATTATGATCACAAACTAATCATTTTGCCAAAATGATCACAAGTTAATCCCTTCATTATCACGATCACAAGTTGATCAACTATGAACTTTTAACCTCTTTAACTAAAATGATCACAAGTTGATCTCTTTATCATTACGATCATAAGTTGATCACCTCAAGCTTTTAAGCTCTTCAAAATAAAATGACCACACGCTAATCTCTTTACCATTATGATCACATGTTGATCGCTTCAAGGTTTTAAGCTCTTCAACGATCACAAGTTGATCTCTTCACCATTATGATCACAAGTTGGTTCCTTTACCATTACGATTGCAAGTTGATCACTTCAAGGTTTTGAGGTCTTCAACTAAATTGATCAAAAGCTAATCTTTTTACCATTATGATCACAAGTTGATCACTTCAGGCTTTCAAACTCTTCAACAATCATAAGTTGATCTTTGCACCATTTTGATCATAAGATGATCACTTCACCAAAATGATTAGAAGTTGATCTCTTTCCAATTATGATCACAAGCTAATCAAGTACAAGTTTTTGAAATCTTCACAATTATAATCATAAGTTGATCACTTTGCAATTATTATTACAACTTACAAGCCTTTCAGCTTATAATTTTAAACGATTACATATTAGTCACTACTACTAACTTATCACTTATAGCAAGTTAAGCATGTACATGCTAGATGATCGTTATCACAACATGCAAGCTTACTATCTTTGGCAAACACAAAACAAATGATTACTTGCAACACATACAAACCACTTAAGTATGTGTGACACACTTCAATTTGTAATACAAGTCTCTCATTCAAGTTGGATAACCTACCTTGACACGAGCGAGAAACAAAGCGACTTAAGCACAACTTATAACTCCTTCCCTCTAAAGAACTCAGAGCATGGAGGCTTATGTATCACCCAACTCCACCAGGCTGAGTTAGCCTTTTTTGTTTGCCCACATTGGACCCTGACACATCATCATAAAGTGAAACCCTAGGTAGTTAATTCCTAATAATTAACAAGATATATTGATATGAATATCTTATAAAATATCGTAATCAAGCACATATATTCATCAAACAAAATATTTTTACTTATAAAGAACAACATTCCTACTAATAAAAAATAATATCTCCTCTAATGAATAACAATATCATTACGCAAGCATAGGAGTATATCTCCAAAATATCATACAACATTATCTCTAAAGTTATAGATAAAATCAATTAACTATATATGGGACCCTGGTATCATTTTACCCTACTCTTATTTTTAACATAAATTCTTCTCTAATTTAAGCATTAGAGTATCTTTATAGGTATCTCCTTGTCATGAAATTAGAGCAATTAGGACGTTGTCCCCACCTTTGAAATACTTGCAAATATTGGTAAGAACATAAATTTGTTATTTAATAAATGAATTGACAATATTTATCTTTAATAAAATTATTATCGATATTATTGATAAAAGTTATATTGTTGTGATTTGATTGGTTCATTTCTAATATATATATATATATATATATATATATATATATATATAATTTAGGTATTTTTTTTTTTTTTTTGTAATAATTATATATAACTTAGGTATTTAATTTTTTTTATTGTAATAATTTAGTTATATAATTTTTTTTTAATTAATGAAAATAGTGTTAGTTATACAATACGCATAAAAAATCACTTGCCCTTGACACGTCACATGTGAAAAATCAGCCGCCATGATCCAAAACAGTGACCAATGATACGAAAAGCATAGATAAGTTGGCCATAGCCGTCATCTAAAAGATAAAAGATTGTGAAAGGGGAAGTCGGAAGCGGTTTCTACTTTCTATTCTCTCTCATTAACTCAACTGTTTTTTTTTTTTTTTTTTTTTTTTTAAAAATAAATAAAAAAAAAAAAGTAAAAAAAAAATAAAAACAGCTTAAAAATTTACAACGTGGAGAAATGTACAAGGTTGGGAGTAGTCATGGAGATTTGAGAATTATTGACAAGACATAAACTTTGCCAAGTTACAATGTAGGAGAATAAAAAGCCAAACCAGCTGTGATCCCAATTCTTAACGTGTTTCATGTACACTATTAACTTTAAAAAGAAGCCCATTGGTGGATTAATTTACTCGAATTACTCTTCAAAAGATTGGACTAGGGTTCCTTCTCAAACCCACGAGCACTATAGGGTTTATTGAATTTAAAAACACAAACGCTTGTACCCACTCGAATTACACAAAAATGTTTTCACATCTAACATTATGAATTGCATGTGGAGATATTCTTTCTTGAATAGAAAATAAAATATCTGATATGAACACTGAACTAAATAAAAATTATTATTATTATTATTATGTGACATTAAGCATATGTTTAGTAGGAGCCAATTTCTTTTGACTCTGAAACGAGATTTAGCGGATAATATTGGAATCAGAATTTAGCACGTGGGCCCGGGTGAGTCGAGATCCGGATCCGGATAATGATATTGGAGATTAATGCGGTGACGACCACAGAAAACCGTTGGAGGAGCGTGTGAACGCTTGCCACGTAAGATGAAACAGTCAAAAGAGGGCTTCAGGCACTGACACGTGTACGACGCTGGGTGAGATTAGTGTTATGGGTGTGGTGGCATTTCCGTCACGCGCTTTTGCACTGTTACCGCAGCAGATAACAATACTAATAAATAATGTAATATAACGTCACGCATGAGTCACGTTGGCGCGTGTGAACACAGCGTTATTTAATGCTTTACTTCATAGTCCAAGCCTTGGACCAAGTCTTTGTCTTTCCTTGATTCCAAGAGGATCCTTCTTGATAGGGTTTTGTTGTCTTAATCACCCCCTCATGCTGCTTTTCTTTCACTAATGACACATGTAAATAGCTTTTCTTTATCCTAATCATGAAAGGATGAGAGGTTAATTTTTTTTAGTTAAATGTAAATATCTTTTTTCAATTATTCATTTCATGCAACACAAAAATATTTAGTAAGTATGATACATCTTCTCACAAATATTTATAATTAAATTTCACAATACACAAATATTTCGTTATATATATAATATATACTTGTATAAAGTTCTGCATAAATTTACACAATATTTACATGAAATTTTCCATGACTTGTTACTATTTACCTTGATTTACACGTTAACAAATCAGTTGAAATATTGATGTGGGATTCTTCCACCCATAATTGATTTGTTTTTCACTCCTCGTCCCCTCACCTCTCATGGATGGTAGTTGCTGGTTGGAGGCTTTATATAGTATTAGCAGGAAAAAGATATTTCGTGTTTACATTGTATTAAAAAAAATTAAAAATTAAAAAATAAAAAATTATTCATAAAAAAAAATAATTATTAAAAAATAAATAAAAGATAAAATAATTCATATAAAAATAAAAATTAAAAATAATTATTGTAAAAATAATTTATTAATTT